CCAGCTGTGGCCCCATCAACAGCCAGCACCACGTGCGTCCAGATGATTCCAGCCCCTAGCCACTGCGTCCCTCTCAGCCTTCAAGTCCTTCCGGCCGAGGCCCCAGATATGGTGAAGCAGAGACAAGCCATCCTGACTGTGTCCTGTCTTATTTCCTGACCCACAGAGCCCATGCCTGTAACAAAATGGTGGTTCTGTGCCACTAGGTTCTGGGGTGGCTGGTTATCAGTGGTGGTCCCCGGCACAGCTGGTGAGTGGTGAGTCGGACTTGAGGGGAGGGCCCTCCGGTGCCCGGTCTCCTGCTCTGTCAGCTGTGTGGTGCTGTCCCTCCATTAGGACAGCATCGGAACCTGCCCTGTGCAGGCCATGAGCCAGGGATCCTGAGTGGCAGGCATGTGCCAGGCGCTGTGCTGAGGGCTTTCCTGGCACAGCCTCAGTCCTGGGAAGTAAGCCTACGTGAAGTATTTATTCCTACGGCCATGTCACCGATGAGAAAACCAATGCTCGGAGGGAGTAAGCCGATGGCCCAAGGTCCCACAGCTGAGAAGGGCTGGAGCCGCGCCGTGAACTCAGGTCTGCCCGACTCCAAAGCGGGGCTTTTCCCCAGAAGGCAGTAGGACAAGGAAGACATAGAGGTATGTGGGGAGCAGGTCTAAAGGTACGAGTACAGAAACCTGAGGCCCGTGCTGAGATTTTCCATGGCCTTGCTTTGCTGCCAAGGACTCTTGAGAGAAAACCTGTCAGTTGGTTCAGCCACGAGGAGGCGGGGCTAACAGAATCTGGAAATGTCTTCATCGGTTCCAAGGCACACACAAACATTACTTGCCCCCTCTGGGGGTCAACGTTCTTTATAATTTTTGCTCTCCAGGAAAATATTAGTTCGTTTATATAAACGAAACATTACATCCAGGGGGGATGGGGATTGAAAACGTGGCATTCCTGGCCCTCTCTCCTCCACGGCCCAGAAACTGAGAAGGTTTCTCCATTTCCGTTCTCACAGTCTGTTTGTTGGTGCGGAGCTGCCGGCACGGCCACTCCCCAGGGTGGAGAGTGGGCAGCTCTCTGTGGGGCGCAGGGGCCATCACAGACACGAAGGGCACAGCCTCAGCCCGGACCACATTGACATTAACCAAGCCCTCTGAGAGACCCAAGTCCCGGCTCCTCCCAGTGCTGGGTCAGCAGGTCTCAGTGCCTGAGGCAGGCGAGCTGGTGAGAGAAGCGGGCACAGCCACATGGAAGGGTCAGGGAGCCCACCAACTATCTTGGTCTTGCTCACGCTGGCCTCCTCTGGCTCCTTCCAGTGCCATGCCTCCTTGCGCCCTCATGGCTTTTGCTGCCTGTCTCCCTGCTAAAGCCCGAGCTCCATGCGGGCAGGTCTTTGCCTCGTTCCACTGGGAACCTGGCTCATTGCAAGGGCCTGTCACAGCAGGCCCTTGGCCTGGATATCCTGAGTGCACGAACCAGTGAAGGCATCTCGGGTCCTCTCGTTGGCAGGTGTGGGGGCGGGTGCCTGACTGCTGGAAAGGGAACCCAGAGCTGGAACTTAAACCCCCATCCCGAGGAGCTGAGGGAGGCTGCGTTCCTCCCATTCCTGGGACTGCAAGAGGCACATTCCTGTCCCTGGGCCTGACCGGGCTCCTGCCACGCAGCCTGGTCTGATTGCCAGATGGGGGAAGGCCTCCTGGGAACTGCCCCTCTGGTCCCACCCTCCACAGGACCCCTCGGCTGTCCCAGGCTGCAGCGGTACCCGCTTCTCTGTCCTCAGAGAGGCTTCGAGGCTGCGGGTGGGAAGCCAGGACCACTGAGCACATCGGAAGCCTTCCAGACGCTCCCGGGCCCTCTGGTGATCAATGAAAACCTTAACATCCTGCTTCCAGGGCGGGAGCCAGGGCTTTGGAAAACTGGTGGAAAACACTCCTGTGAGCCGGGCTCGCAGCACTGTGTGAAAGTGCAGCATCAGCACTTCCCCGGAAGGGAGTGTGGAGTCAGCAGTCGGCAGCCCCAGAGCTGCCTCCCAGAGCCCAGCGCCTGAGGGGTCCAGCCAGGAGCTCAGAGACCGGGCAGCAGAGGCCAGGCTGGAGAGGCGAGGACAGGCGAGCGCGGCTATTTCCCCAGGGCCCCTGAGTGCCAGGCTCTGCGGATGCCAGGCAGGGTCCTTACATTGGGGGGAAGGCAGACGTGGGACAGATATGCACAGATAATGCTTTAATCCCCACAGGGGGAAGGGCTGTGGAGAAGTACAGACCGGCTCGGCAAGAGTGCAGAACACTGGGTTGGCAAAGTTTCTGTAAAAAGCGAGACGGTGAATATTTTAGGCTTTGGAGGCCACAGGGTCTTTGTCCCAGCCACTCAACTCTGCCACTGTCACGGAAAGCAAACAGACAATATGTCAACGGACGGGTGTGGTCCAATATAAAAACAGGGGTGGGCTGGATTTGGGCCATAGTGTGCCAACCCTGGTGTAACAGGGGCCTGACCAGGAGGGCGGGGGTGCGGTGGGAGGAAAGCACCCCCGGGGCGGCGGCGTTTCGTGCAAAGCCCAAAGCTGATTCAGTGACAGAGGCACAGTCATAATACTGACGACAATCACATCATCCTAGTAAAGTTACACTGTGTGTCAGGCACTGGACGGTTTCACACCCATGGTCTCAGTAAGTTCCCACAACAGCCATGGGAGGGAGGCATTATAGCTTTTACAGATGGAGACACTGAGGCTTGGCAGGTATGCCGACTGTTCTGTTTGCTCCCTCAGAAGCCGAGTCCTCCTCAGCTCAGCAATCACTGGAGTTGGGGACACCTTTTCTTTGCCAGGTCCCTCAGCCTAGAGGTGCTGGTGCCTCACTGTTCTTTACATAATTCCCATTTCAGCTTCATTAAAGTCTCTTCGTATGAGCCGGGGTGTGGTGGGGGGAGTAATTCTCTTTCCTGCCGGGATTCTGACTGATGTGGCGGTCGGTTAATTTGCTGGGTTCTGACCTCACACGGCTAATAAATGACAGAGCCGATGGAGGGGACAGTGGCTAGAACAGGAAAGTCTGGTGGACCCTGAGGAGGCTGGGCCAGGGGCCGGGTCCTGGCTCCCAGGCCCTGGATTCCATCGTAGGCAGGGGTCAAAAGTCGGTACAGCTCCTCCTTTCCTGCCCCAGGGCTCAGTGAGAGGGCCAGTTCTTGAGGCCCCCAATTAGCAGTGTTAGTTTTCTGAGCTGGCTCCTGGTCTACAACCTCCGGCCTAGCAGGAGGAGTGCTCAGTGCAGAACCGGGCTGAGGGCACAGATGGGACCCTGGTCTCTTCCTCAGGGAGGAGGTAGTGAGGCAGGTGCTGGTCAACTGAAGGGACCATCTGGGTCAGACAGATGCCTGGGGGAAGGGGAGGCCTCTGCTGCCATGGCTGAGGCTCGGGAGGCGAGGCTGCCTGGGCTGCAGGTGGGTGTGCAGGGCACTGGGGAGGAGGAGGCTCTCTGAGGCTCAGGGATGAGGCTCCAGCAATAAGACCCCTCTTGTGCTCCAGGCTAGTGTGCACCAAAGGCCTACCTGAAGCCTCAGCCTGGTCCTTCCTTCCATCCATTCATCCATGAACCCTGGGAGGCTCGAGCATCCGTAGAGCACAAGCATTATGCCAGGTGCCGGAGACTCATCCAGTGACCCATTAAGTGAGGCCCAGTGGCCAAAGAGAATAATTACAAATGGGGGTGTCATAAAGAAACGAAGAGCTGAAATAAAGTCTCTCTGAGTTTAGAACGATGAGCAAGAGCCAAACATGGAAACGTGAGGGAAAGGCATTCAAGGCATGTGCAAGAGGCCTGACTGGAGAAACTTCCAGAGGCCTCACTTCTCTCAGGCAGAGAGGAGGCTCGAGTTTGGCCTGTGGATGGAGAGAGGCGCTAGAGAGAGGCAGAGCTGGCCCCTCAAGGCAAGGCTAAGACCCTTCCTCTGCCATCTCACTTCCTGTGCCACGCCTTGCCCCCCTCATGGCTTTGCTGCCTGTCTCCCTGCTAAAGCCTAAGCCCCATGTGGGCAAGTCTTTGCCTCATTCCCTGCGTACCTGGCTCACTGTAAGGGCCAGGCTCACGGCAGGCCCTCCCATCACTCCCTGCTCAATGGCTCCCGCATGCATGGAGCGGGAAGTGGGGACTGGTCAGACACAGCAGGGGCAGAAGTAATGGAAGCCTGCAGCAGGAAGGGGCCCTAGGAGATGAATCCTCTGGCACTGTCCGGAGGGTAGAAAGAAAGTGTGACTATGGGGGCTTCTTGGCACGCAGGGAAGGCCAGAGACTTGGCTTATCCCGTTAAGGCAAGCTAACCAGATAAGGTGGCAGAGGCTTCTTACTCAGACTAATTTGAAGGAGACTAAAGGGCTGAAAGCTTGTGATTTGAGCCCACTCTGCTCCAGAATTTTGGCATTACCTCCTGAAGAAAGTCTTGAATGGTTAGTGTTTGCTACCGTTCCTTCTATGGCCCTCAACAATTGCTTTAGAATCCTGCTGCTATTACCTACATCCCTCTGATGGGAACCCTGTCCCCAACCCCCTTAATCACTAGGGACACTGTTTGTATGTCCCAAATACGCGAATAAAGCTGATGTTCCAGGAGGGTGAGCCATCTGTGTCTGGAGGCACCAAGTCCCCAGGCATCCCATGCACCAGCCCCCCTCCAGGGCACATCAACCCGAGCCTGGGCAGAAGGCCCAATGTTAAGGGCCCAGGTGACTTGGAGAAGAACCTAGGGTTTTCTCTACCCTGTGCATGTTCCCAACCTGGGGTTCTGATCTGGCCTCTCTTGGGGCTGTCGGGTCCCAGGCTTTTTCAGGGAGCCCCAGCCCAGAGGTGACCCACAGGGGCCTCATGGATTAGGAGCCCGGAAGGTTGGTATACAAGGGCTGCTAGGACCGTGGAGTCTGCCAACCTGCAACTCAACTGGGCCCTTGTCACAGTCAGGGCCAGCCCCAGCAGCCATGCTTGGGCCGTGAGTGGGTGTGTCCCCACCCGAGGTGGCTACAGTACCTGCGAGATCTTCCTTGGAAGAGACCAGTCTCGGAGAGCTGCTTCCCGGTTCAATTCTGAGTGACAGTCTGGAAACAAAGATTTTCATGAGATCAGAGGGGCTCTGGTGTATCAGAGGGGGACTGATCACATGTGGGTTTGGACTCGGGAGACAGGACTGCTGCTAAGGGCTAGAGTCTCAGAGCCCAGGAGCCCTTTGGGGTCTGCTCCAGATCTCAAGACAAGCCTGGGGGGTAGGTACATTTATTGTCTCCTTCTACCAGGTGAGGAAACAGCAGTAGCAAGGTTAAGTAGCTTCCCCAAATTCATGGGCTAGCGAGTGGCAGGGCAGGCAATCCAACCCAGGACTGGCTGACCTGAAATCAGGGTTTTTAATCATTACACTGCACCCCCCTTCTCAGAGGCCCCAGAGAGGCACAGGCAATGGACGTGTTATGAGGACTGGCACCTCAATAATAATAATAATTATTATTATTATCTTTTGAGCACTGATTAAGAACCTCTGGGTAAAAATGGTGGAGTGAAGCCAGATGCCAGACTCCCCCTCTCCCAACAAAACCAACAAATAATTAGGAAGGCTTAGGAGTAGAAGAATTTACCAGCTGCAACTCAACAAGAAACGGGGCATGAACTGAAGCCATGAACTTCAGAAACTTGCAGCCACGGAAAGAAAAGGAGGATTGCGGAGTTTGACCAAGAGGTGTGACACAGCAGGGCTCCAGTATCCTGCCCTCCGAGGCTTCTCGGTAGGTCTGAGCAAGAGTCCCTACCTTTCTCCCTCTTCAGAGTGGCACCAGATATTGGCAAGAAATGGATGAAATGGGTGGACAGCATGGTGGATACTCTGGCAGAAATGAAGGTTCCCTTGAGGGGGTGATTTGAAACCTGAGGGCGCCCCTTTCTGGAATGGGATGCAGCCCCCAGTGAGATGGAGGAAACCCTGATACAGGCCTTTTAATAGAGCCCCCACATCTAAAACACACTGCGTGCTCCCTGCCTCGTGGGAGTCTGAGCCCTGCATTCCCCCCAGGCTACAGAAGAAGGTAAAGACAAAGCACCCTGACCTCACAGCATGGCAGGAGGAAAAGCCAGCCCACCTCACATACATGGGAACAGGGCCAGATGTCGACTCCCTCCATCCAAGCCATGGAATATCCAGATGGAGCTTCTCAAATGGGAGGAAGACAAAAAGAAATGGTACGGCAACCTAGCAAACATCCTCTCACACAAAAAAAGGAAAGAAAAAGGAATAGAGCAGTGTCCACATCGCTCAGCCCAGGAGGCAGCCCCCAGGGATACAAGGAAATCCCCCCAAGTGCTTTGAGCAGGAGAACAGCTTATTTGGAACATGGGTTGAATAAAGCAAGACCTGAAAAATGAGATGATGACACAAAGGAGTAACATGGAAAGGGAGACTGGGGTCCTAGGGGACCAATCAAGGATCAGATGAATATCTAAGTAGAGACAGATTGTCTGAGCGTCTGTGAGGAAAAGACAGAGATTATAGCTTCTAGGAAGAAGCTAGGGGACATGGAAGGCAGACAGCACCCAATGTATGGATGCCTGGAATCCCTGAAAGAGGAAAGCCAAGAAATGGCACAGAAGAAGTCAAAGATAACCCAAAGAATCCCTCTGAAATGAAGAAAGGGCATGCCATGTTCCAGGGAAATTTGGTACAGAACACTCCACTCTGAACCATTCCTCTTGTTGTGCCTTTGAACTCCAAGGAATCCTTCACCCACCAGGCAGATAAAGCAAGTCACTTACAAGAGGCGCCTGGGTGGCTCAGTTGGTTAAGCGACTGCCTTCGGCTCAGGTCATGATCCTGGAGTCCCAGGATCGAGTCCCGCATCGGGCTCCCTGCTTGGCAGGGAGTCTGCTTCTCCCTCTGACCCTCCCCCATCTCCTGCTCTCTCTCTCTCATTCTCTCTCTCAAATAAATAAATAAAATCTTTAAAAAAAAAACAAGAGGAAAGGATCAGACTGCTCAGACTTCTCTACAGCAGCATCTGGTGTCAGAAGGCAACGGGAGCAGGGTCTGCAAGTGCTGGGGGAGAGGCGCAGAGGCACGCGGGGCTGTGAGGCGAGGCGGTCACATGCGGACGTTTCCACAAGGGAAATCAGAGCGTGCAGAGAAATCAGAGCGTGCAGGACTTGCGAAAACCTGCCTCATGGGGAAATCCGGCTAAATAAGGGAGTTGTTAAAATAACGACTCCAAGAATGGAAAAGCTGTGGAGGAACACAGGTGGTAAGAATTGAATCTGTTTAAAAACACTAACCAGTAGGAATGATGGTTCCTGAACATAATGTGTATGACATAAACTTGGACTGTGTAGTAATAATAACACGACTAACAAAAAATTGGAAGATGGTGAAGGGGAGGTGAAGGCGGGGGAGAGGGCTGACGTTCTCATCTTTCGTATCCAGTCAACTGACCCTGTGCACAGTGGAGACCTGGTTAAAACAGGACTCACTGGCTCAAACCTCTTCATGTTTTTCCCGACCTCTCTTAGTAATCTTAGAAGGCTCTTTTAGGAAATTGTATCTCTTGTGCTGAAGAAATATTTATTTGAAGAGCAGCTAATTCCTTACATTTTATTTCAGCTCCTTTTTCTGGTTAAATTAAAATACTTTCAATTAAAAATAGCAAGTGTAGCATGATCCAATTTTAATAAGTTCTATCATTCCATCCAACCATCTGTCCATCTTTCTCTGTGTCTCTATGCACTTCCTATGCATTAAAAAATGTCTAAAATTATGTTCACTTAATGTTAAAGGTCATGCTTTCTAAGTGGTAAGAATTTGGGTAATTTTTCTTAAATAAGATAAAATGGACGAAGAGTCGAGAAAAATAAGCACTGTTTGGGTCCCGTGGCACAGTATCTCCCAAGCAGATGGGGGAGGGTTTTTAGAAATGCTCCATCATCCCGTAATAACAAAGCCACTGCATCCTTTTGGGTGGGGAGCAAGTTTTGGGACATGAGTTGGGCCATCGAACATGGGTTCCTCAAGCAGAATCACAAGCCCTGCATGTCCTGTGTCACTCAGAGCTGGGGCCTCCCTGGGGAGGGAAGCCATCCATGGTCCGGGCCCTGGCGGGGAGAGTGCAGGCATCTTCCCTTGGTTTGCCCACTTGGACCACAACAAAGGGCCTTTGTAAAATCCAGGCTGACTGGCTAGCAGTAAGCGCAGGGGGTGTTCAGTGTCCTTCAGAATGGAAGGAGTAATTACTCACGACCTGCAGCTTGTCCAAGGATTATCTCATGGTCAGAAGTATTTATAGACCATTTTTCTCCTTAAAGGATTAGTGTTAATGAAAAACTGCTGTCTCTTTAATTGTACAACAGACACATAAATGGAAAATATTATCCCAGAACCTAAGTGAGAATAATTTCACACTCTGGGGTACTCTTTTCAGGAACAGCAAATGCTTTGTAAGCAAAATGAGTTTAAATTGTGGCAAACACAATTTTAATGGTAATCTCTGGCCTTCATCTGTTGTTGTTACTATTATGCAATAGATCACAATTTCATATTCTCCTCTGCTCTAACAAAATATTATACAATAACAACTAAAGACATGTCTATGTTCCCAAAGATGGCTAATTATTAGAACCACCCAGGGAGCTTCAAAAAAATACACATTTCCAGGCTCCACCACAAACATACGGATGGTTATAAAGCCTCCCAGGTGATTCTGATTCACAGCGAAGGTGGAGAACTACTGTAGACATGGCCAGATGTGGAGCTGGTTCAACAGCCGTCCCCAGGGTCCTAGTGAGCACATCAGGAGTGACCAGAGGTGTCTCTAGTGGCCACAGTTCCCTACAATTTTCAGTGATTTTGATGAAGACCAAGTAATCAAACTGGTCAAATTTCCGATACAAAGCTGGAAGAGATAAAAAATATATATATTGGATAATGGGATTCAAAGGAACATGACACCTGGAAGCAGCCAATAAGACGAGATTTGAAAGAATATATGTAAAGTTGGCATTTAGGGGGAAATGATCAGTTACCAGATGGCTGAGATCTGCCTTGATATATCAGGTCATACGAAAAGTACTGAGACTCTTGGTTGGCCTCAAGCTCAAAATGAACCAAGAGGATATCCAATCAATGTGGCAGACAGAGTTGATCTGAAAAATCCTCCTTCTGCCTCTAAATACATAGAAATGCTGGGTAAATTCCCAGGTGCCGCAAATGAAGAACCAACTGAAAGCCAGAGCAGGGTGAGGGGAAGATGAGGACAAAGGGACCACAGGTGTCTTTGTGGGAACCGAGTCTACTCCAAAGGGCTGCGTGGGATGGAGATGAGGCCTCAGCCACCGCCAGATGGTGAGAGTCCTGCAGAAAGCTGGGGCCGCAGGGAGCTGCCTAGTCCACGAAACAGGCTCTTGAAGAACTGTCAGCCTAGAGGCACGGCTGGAGCGCTGCCCCTCCACCCAGCGCTGTGAGCAGGGGTGGGTGGGGGGAGTCACTTGTGAGGACCCGGAGCACAAAGCCTGCACCACGCACAGCCGTGGAGTCCAAGTTCATGCTGCCCATGCAATATGGGAAAGCCAGGCCGAGAAGCTGACAGAACAATGTCCTCAGATCTACAGGGCTGGGCGGCTGGGGCCAGAGGTCGCATTACGTGCTTGTGCTCGTGTGTGCTGGTTTACGGGTGCTGCTGCGGTAACCTTTTGCAAGCCCCACAGGTGGCAGCTCACTGGTCCCAAAGGGGACAGGAGGCGAGAGAGCAGGCACTCACTTGTAGTTGTCATCTTCCACAAACTTCTGGAGCTCTTCGATGTAGCGTACGGACTTCAGGTACTTCTGCACGTGGGGCAGGGTTGTGAGGTGATCTGCAACACACGGACAGAACCCACAGGCTTCAGTCTCTCCCCAACCCCGAATGAGAAGTGTAGGAATCACTGATTCAATCTGCCCTCCAGGAGTGCCCACCTCTCAGATGGCTGGGCCACAGACCACAGACCCTGAAGTCACCACAGTTCCTTGGCTGGGGAGAGAAAGGCCCCCAGAACAGACCAGAGCTGGGTGTCGGCGCCCTTAAACAGGTTTCCACTGGGGAAACTGGGCAAACCTCTCATCCCCTGCATGACAAGAATGAGAGATGAATGAACAAACCCCATCCAGCCCAGTGCAGAGGTCCAACCCAGGTCCTAGCACAGCTTGGGCTGGAGCTGCTCCATCCTGGGAAGAGTGGGAGGGGCCTAGACACCTGGGCACCTGTTCTGCACCAGGCTATGTACCAGGTGGTTTCCAGAAGGCATCTGCTTTAACTGTCACACCTCCCTCATTTGGGGGGAATAATATGCCCACTGCACAGAGAAAGAAACTATGGCAGTTGGCAAAGATCACATCATTGAGACGTGGCAGAGCCAGGTTTCAACCCTGTCACCGGACGCCTCGGCCACACTGCATCCCACCTCTTTCCCAGATACCGTCCACACACCTTCATGGTCCCTGCACTCCAAGGGGGTCAGAAATCCTCTAGAGTCCTCTCTGCCATTCCTCATGGGGTGGGACAGAGCAAGCTGAGGGAAGAGGGGGAGGCAGTAAAGGGGGCTGTGAAGAGGAGCAGAAAGGGGGTGGGGAGGGCCCCTCACACTTGGGGACGTGCATCCAGGTGCTGTGAGGAGCTCCTGGTGGCCCTGCCCCTTAACTGCAAGATTTGGAACATGTCATTCTGTTTCTCTAGAGCCTCAGTGTTCTCGTCCTGGGGATAATGACACCTGCTTCACGAAGCTGATGACATCTGAATGAGGGTGACAGTCGTACGAGGATTTACTGAGCTCTAATGAAATGCTGGATGTGTTAAGGCCTCTGCACGCATTATGTCCCCATTTCTACCGATGAGAAAACCTCACACTTAGAGACGAGGAAGTGACTTTTCAGGAGGCAGAGCTGAGATGTGAGCCCGGGTCTGTCTGACCCCAAAGCCGTGTGTGTAATCGCCCTGCAGGCCAGTGGGTCAGCGAGTGCTGACTTACTTGTGAATGGAAAGGGCCTGGGCAGGGGAGGACTGTATGGGGAGTCTGGACCCCTCGCTTCTCCTCTAGTCAGGACAGCTGATCTGGAAGCACCTGTGCAGGGGTTTGGGGCCGGGGGGACAGGGGGTGGCTTCTGCTTCAGCAAGCCCGCCCCACAGAACCGCACCCTGGCTTCCCTGTGGCCTTCCCAAACGGAAGCTGTTTAGTCTTCTCGTGCCCTTGTACCGCATGTGGGATTGACTGCATGGGGGATTGGTTTCCTTCCTGTCCCCCTTTGCTGCTTCCGGACTTTTATTCCTCCACCGGCTTGTGAGAACCCAGCTCCGCAGAGGCACATTTCTGCAGCTCTACCACCTACTCCCCTCTTCATTGCTGACTCCTCCTGGCTGGCGGACCTCGTCATTCTTGTCCCTTGCTGAGGGACCTGGACACCTGGCTCACAGTTGCGTTCCACACCCCAGAGTCCACTGTCATCCTGGGTGAAATCAACATCTGCATGGATGGCCCATCCAGCGTTCTGACTTCTCTGTTCCTCAACCCCATCTCTGACAACTGGTCATACTTTAGATCCGGTCATATGTAGCAGAGCCTGGCCAGTTTTTACCAAGTCATCTCCCTTTTTCTGCTAGGCCCACAGCTAGATTAGAGTTCCTAGCCTCCCCAGCAGAAGTGATGAGCACCATGTACAAATCTGGTCTGTAAAACCTACTCTTGTATGATTCTCTCTCCTCCTACATCTGCCAGATGGATGCAGAGTCCACTAGCGGACCCTGAGGCCATAGGACATGGCAGAGCCACAACATGAAGGAACCTGGGTCCCTGAATCCTCTTGGAGGAGAGCTGCCCAGGGGCTGCCCACAAAGCTCTTCATGGATGAATGACCTGGGAGCCAGAAAGACCTGGGCCCCACCGCTCCCCAGATGTGTTATCTTATTAGACACGCAACTGAACTATTTTCAGCCTCGGTCTCCTTGTCTGTAACACAGAGATGGGAACAACTAGTTTTCACAGTCTTTGAGGATCAAGCCTGTGGGTAAAGGGTCCAGCACATGTTGGATGCTCAAGATATTAAAATGAAGAGCTTTGTAGAGTTTTCTATAACTTTCTCACTGATAAGGTGCTGAATCCAAATTTCAGTGATGTAAGATTTCACAATTCCAGCAACCAGGGGTACTAACCGTAGCTGCAGGAAACTTGTAAATCAGCGATTATTCGGAGAATGTTGTTCATCTGATTGGATCTTTGTTCGTTTTCCATGATGCTGCCCGAGGCAGGATATGCAGAATCAATGTAGATTAAATCCAGAAGATAGATCCCTAAAATTAAAGAAGGTATTTAGTAACAGTGGGCACTTATCGTGAATCAGAACAAAATAGCACAAAACAGCACTGCTGTGCTAGAAGGTATAAAGGGTGACTTATGGAAAACCGAGATACTATTCTGACTTCACTTCCAATCCCGACTACTAATTTCTCACATAGGCTGCTCCACTGCAATCAAGCTTCTGAGTGACAACCAAAATGAATGCTAGGAAGATTTTAGCATTTCTAGTTCATATACTCTCCAGCCACAAGGAGAGTTTTTACCTGTAACCCAACTGGAAAATAACAGGACATGAAAGGGACAGATACTTGTATTTTTCACCAACGATGGCGTTGGATAGATCTAAGGTGTCCTATCCAGGACAATGCCCATTTGGACTGAATTCGGTTTTTTATTTATTCACTTAGCTATGTGTCTGCCTCTTTTTCTATCTACACACACACATACAAACACACGTGCACGCACACACACCCCAAAATCACAAATTAACTAAAAGAAGAAATAAAAAAAAACAATAGCCCTTGGTACAAAGAACTAAGGCTAGATAGAGAATTTTCTTGAGGGTGCTTAATAAGAAAGTAATGTGTGATATGAAAACATGGTTATGATAGGCCAGTGGTGAGCCTCGGCACAGCCTCCTGGCATCACCCCAGCTGGGATTCGGCCAGCGATGGGAGGCGAGGACTGGCTATACAGCATGATCCACACCCCAGGCTCTCTGGAGGTGCACGTGGACAACGGATGGGATGTTGTCCCAGCAGCCCTCCATAAGCACTGCCACGACATCTATGATACTGGTGGGCTGAGCAGGAGTAGCAACATAAAGCAGAATTCAAGGCAGAAAACACTGGACAAGGCAAAGAGAAGGAACTGATATTAATGAAAAGCACAGTTGATTGAGAAGATGTAATGACTACAAATTTCTATGCACAAAGCAACACTGCATCAAAATATACAAAGCAAAAAACTGCCGGAAATGAAGTGAGTTCAACAAAGCCACAATCACAGAAGGAGCCTTTGGCATGTCTCTTCCAGAATGTGTGTGTGTGTGTGTGTATGTGCACTTGTGCATGCTCACATGCATGCAGCTGTGGGCACGTGTATAACTACAAAAATATACACGCATGTGCAGGTATATATACGTATCTGTGCATACATGAATATTGAGTAATGAAATTAACAAGCTTGGTGTTATGTAAATGAAAATCATTCTTTCCAAATACCTATGGAATACTTACAAAAATTGGTTCTATATTAGACTATAAAGAAATGCTCAGTAAGTTCCAAAAAGTAAATGCTGTATTACCCACATGCTTTGACCTTACTACAATACATCTAGGATTTAACAATAGATGTAGAAAGAATTCTAACTGATTAGAAAACACACACACACACTCATATGCAACTCTCAGGTCAAAGAAAAAGCAAAAAATATAAAACAAACTATTTGAAGATAATGTCAGTAAGAACACTATATATCAAACTGTATGAATTTGACCAAAGTGGTACTCAGAGGAAAATTTATAGCCTTAAAAGTTTACTATTAAACTACTAAGAATTATGACAAATACACTTAGCCCAGTATTTAAATATAAAAGTGGGTTTTTTTGCATGGATGGACAAGCACTGCACTGACTTATACGTGCATTATCTTATTAATCCTTACAACAACCCATTTTATAGAGGAGGAAAAGGAAATGCAGAGGGGATGTATAACTTGCTCCAGGCCACACAGCTGGTAAATGATGGAGGTGGGAGTCGAACCCAAGCCTCCCTCCCCAGAGCACAAGCTTCCTGCCATCACAGTGGACCGCTGGTGCTGGATACCATGAGTCATTCGTCTGCTTTAAAAATAGCTACACATTGTTACGGGAAACCATTAAATCATAGAAACATATGCTAGCACTTCTAATTGGAGCCATTTCTACTTCCTTTCTTTCTAGTGGCACCATGTTTCCAAAATTTTAATAATTAGAAATAATTTCCCTTGTATGGAAGCTCCAAGTTTTGTAGGTTGAAATCCACAGATGGATTCTCTCTTTGGATCTTGTTCTGCCTCTCCCTTCTTAAAAATGTAATTCAGTTACCTCCCCAAGGATTCAGCAGAGGCAATCCTGAAAATCACATTACTGCTTCAACCACAACAAAAAGTATCCTCTGGTGCCGAGCATGAGGTGGCGGGATAGGGGACACGTGGCACCTCTGTTCTAGCTGCAAAATCTGTGCAGACTTGAACCTAGCTGACTGAGTGGCAGAACAAAGGCTCAGCCAGAAGCAGAGACTCTGGGGAGCAGGATAAGGGAAGGGGGGGTGGAGAACGGGGGCTTCTGGAAGCTCCACGACAAGTTGGGAACTTACCTCTTTACCCATGTGACCCTGCCATCAACCCCTGAGGGTGGAGGAGATAACGAAAGCTCAGAGAGATTAAGAAACCTGTCTAGGCCTCACAGTGGGTATGTGGGAGTGGAGCCCAGGTCTGTTCGGCTCCAGCGCTTGTGTTCCGACCCACTCACTGGCCTCAGAAACACACGGGGAATCGGCTTTTCTCAAATAACACCCTCAGCCTGGAAGGCTTGTTCTGTGCTGCCCTTCGAGGACTGAAGCTAGCCCCTCTGCTTCTTCTCAGGCCCCTGTTATGCAAAGGGAGGCCAGGAGATGCTCTCCTTCTAAGGGGTGGCACACCATTTCTAGCCCCCAGTGCCCGCTTGCACCCTGGGGGGCACAGGGAGCTCACTACTCCATCAGGGCTAATTCCCCCTCCACAAAACATGCAGACTCCAACATCTGTCTACCCCCCAGGGCCTGAGAGTACAGGCCAACACCGTGACACGCTGAGGATTGAGGGGGGGCTCCCCAAAAAGGCCTGTCCCCAGCAACCTGGGCAGACCTTGAGCCTTGGTAATGCCTGCACAGAAACTCCATCTAAACATCCTTTCAGTCCCACAACAGAAACTGTCCCAAAGGCAGCAAATCTTTTACAGTTCATGCTGTGCAAATCCAGGGGAAATCATTTCAGCATAGTTATTGGCCCATAACTGGAAATATTTAAAAGCCTAAACTGTAATGAAATCGTAAGCAGAGTCACCTCCCACTTGCCCTGTGCCTGCACTGTGGTCAGGCACCACATACAGTTAGTGCTCACAAGCGCAATACGACACTTATCTGCATCATTCGTGTATTTAACGTCTGATTCCCTCATCAGACTTAAAACTCCTCAGAGCAGGAAGTGGGTCTTGCTCCAGAGCTCAGTCCCCAGCAGCTGCAAGAGAGCACGCAGGAGCTGCTGGCTAAACACTAGCTGAATGAAGGACTGCATGAATAAAGGCAGATTTTATGTAAGCCACACAATAACCTTGCGAAGTGCATTACTACCCCCGTTTTGTAGGTGAAGACAGAGACACCGAGAGTCGAGTGCTAATAATAGTAAAATACAGAAATAGTATTTCCATAAATGTATTTACAATCCAGTATTTATTTCTTTTTTAAATTACTTTGAGGGTAGTGGACACGCAATGTTGCATTAGTTTCGGGTGTACAACACGGTGACTCACGAGTTCATACATCCTGCTGTGCTCACAGGTTGTAGCCGCCATCCGTCACCACACACGCTGTCACAGTATCACTGACTGTATTCCTCCCGCTGGGCCTTTTACGCCCGTGACTTACTCATTCCACAACTGGAAGCCTGTATCTCCCGCCCACCTCACCCTAGAATTTAATATTTAATCAAATTAATTTAATATTTAAGTAATAACAACACGGAGCACTTACTACATGCCAGGTCCTAAGCTAAGAGCTTTGCCCAGATTACGGGATCATAACAATAACTGCCACAGAGGTTTTATCTCGCTCTTTACAGAAGGAGAAACTGAAGCTGGGAGAGTTGCTTCGCCTGTGTGAGGCCACACAGCTGGGAAGTGGCCGAGGCAGGACTGAACACGGGTCTGTCCCGCCATATTGTCAGGCCTTCATTTACCCCAGTCAGGTCTTCTGGTGCCCGGCAGCCAGTGAGGCAAGATGGGGGCATAGCTGGACCCGGAGGTACCCAGGCTGTGGCTCTCCCTGCCTGCTTTCCCCTGTGGGGTCAACACTCTCCAGGGGGCCTCACAACTACACTGCGGCTACCTCTCCACGTCTCGCATCTCCTCCCCTCTGCCTCCCTGGTACTCACCGTGGCATATCTATCCCAGGTCCTGCCGTCACTGGGCCCACCCAGGCCTGAAGGCCCTGCTAGCTGTGCCACGGGACAGGCAGCAGTGGTGACCGGTGGGGCGGGGGGGCGGGGGCGTGGAGCCAGGAGACTTGGAACCCTGGCCTTGCCACTTCCCAGCTGGGTGGCCTCAGTTTCTTGACTGTGATTCGGGGTAATGAAGGTGGTCATGAGGAGTCTCCTGGCCCCGGGCCTGGACCGCTGAGGTGCCCGAGAAGCTGAGCTGACCCTGAGCCTGCCTCCACGGCCAGGCCCCACTTGGAAGAACATCGGGACGCCCATGGGAGGGATGCACCCATCCGGGTTTGCCATAACCGTGGATGGCGCCCAGATGCCGACCACGTGGCGGCCACCCACCTCAGACAGGCCAGTGCTGGGAGATTCCGTCTGGATTGGGACGGCACAGCTGGGATGTCTCAGCTCCCGTCCTATTTATACAGAGTTACTGCAGCAGACGAGGCTGTGTTAATGGCCTTGTTAAGATGGACAGTAACTGGACCAGCCACTGGCCTTGGCTGCCACAGGGCTGAGCAACGCCAGAGCCCAAGGCTAGACTGGGAGGTGCAGACGCCTTGCGGGAAACAACTGTGCTAGTAAGAGCCACGGTCTGCGACAGGGAAGGCTGGCCTCGCCTGTGCTGCTACCCCCGCAGGCGACCGGCACCTTACAGAGAGGAAAAGTGGCTTGCGAGCGGGGGCAGCAGGATTTGAATTCAGGCCCATCTAACTCCAAAAACTGGGGACAGAGAGCCATGCTGAGGGCTGGGGCCGGCACGGGGTGAGG